AGCCTTTTGTGTTTGCACTCCCGTTTTGGCCTTTCCTGCTCTCCTTTTCTCTCTCTGCCTTAGCTGAAAGCGTGGTAAAACGTGCGTCTGCTGCCGGGCCTAGTTTGGCGTGTATTGCGCCCTGCGTGACTGCTGCGGATTCTGTGCTTCTGTAGTAAATTCGAAAAGTTCTACCCGTATATCGGCGCACAAGCGATTTCGTCAAAGAAGCCGAAAAAATGTTTGCGATGCGTTTAGTGTTCGGTTCCACAAATTGCAGCTTGTGCTACACGGTGTGGAATCTTCACGGACATGTTCCTTCTCGTTTTTCTGTTTGACTTGTTATTAATTCTGCCGTGACCATGTTGACATATATCTCGGATTAGACGTTTGAAGTCCGGTATCGTCAACGTAAGTGCGTTGCAACGTACTTCGATCGGAGCAATTGATCATTTTTCTACAGGTACTCTTCCAGATTACCTCTAGAATTAGGCAGTGTCTAGCTCCTGGCAGCCGGGAGAATAATTTCCCCGAAATTCTACCAGCAGTCACCTGCCATTGGCCTTCTGAAACCATGTCACAACTGGAGGTAGAATACTGAATTTTTTATTCTCCCTGCATTTCGTGATAACACGCTCCACAGCCACCTTCTCGTGGATACGCGTTTCATGGACACACGTTTTGTTGACGTTAACATTTCATCGACATTCGTTATGCGAATGTCGATAATCCTGTATTCCCTGGGAACCACGTTAAGCGAAATCAGGAGTGGCGTAAAGCTCAGCTCACGTAAAAATTAACAAAAATTTGTGCATGCTGAATATCCAATTGGTATTTTTCTTATACAGATGAGAAGTCAGTTTTGGTAGATTTTTGTAGAAAATAACAATATACCGGGTGTTTCTTTTTTATTCTTGCAGATTTGTTTAAAAAAAAGCCATGAAAGCTACACTTAAGCGATTTGTTTGAGTGAATTATACGCCCAGGGGGATATTATGTGGGTGGCGAATTTTTGCGATAAGTCGGCTAATTAATTAAAACTCGCTAATTAACTTTCTAATTAGTGAAAATAAACATATGGCTCTAATTAGAAACTTGCTGACGTTATCGAAAACCACTAACTCAGTCATCTTAAAAGACTTTCAGCACGTGAGAAGCGTTATAGAGCACTAAAGTTACGACTGGTGGAGCAGGTACAAGGCTAGGTTTTTTTCCGTCTCTTATCTAGCCCCAGCCTTGTACCAGCTCCACAAGTGGTAACTTCAGCACACTACTGCGCTTCTCATGCGCTCAAAGTTTTTTCTAAAAATTACTGATTTAGGGGTTTTGGACAACGCTCAGCAAGTTTCTAATTGAGACCATATGTATATTTTCACTAAATAAAAAGTTAATTAGTGAATTTTAATTAATTAGCCGACTTATCGCAAAAATTGGCCACCCACATAATGTTCCCCTGGGCGTACGACTCACTCGCACAAACCGCATAAATGTAGCTTTCATGGCTTTTTTTAAACAAATCTGTAAGGATAAAAAAAACACCCTGTATATAAAGGATGCCTTATTTGACTGGGACATATCTGGCCCTATAAGGGAGGCAGATATACCTCGATTTTGCAGACCCAGATATGGACATATTAAAAATTGGGCATATCTGGCCAAATATGCCTGATATAAACTGATGTGCTTTATATAGGCAGATATGCCTTACATAAACTGATGTGCTTTATATAGGCAGACATGCCCAATTTTTTTATATAACCATATTTGTTTTTTTTATATATAAGTCCAGATATGCCACTTTCGTAAGGGGGATCGAGCATTGTCAAGTTTAAACCCTACCTGTGCGGGTAAACATTCGTGTTCCAGACAGACCACAAACCTCTCCAGTACATTAAACCAGACATGTACAAAATACTCAAAAAACGTAGTTAAGTTGAGTTACTGAGTATCGACGCCAAAAGTGATTGGAGTAGAGTAGAAATTACGCATTCGTAATGGTAATTGAGTAAACTACTAACTACTGTAAAAAGTAGCGAGTTACTTTGAAGTTACTTTCGAAGTTACTTTTTTATATTTTTGTGGTAGCAAAATAAACAGCAGTTTTGATCAATGAAAAACCCTGCGAGCCTAAAATAAATGCAGTCTATTTATGGCTTGCGTTTTCGCCAAAATAGTTTACTCGCTCGCAGAAGCAATTGACTTTCAAAGTCCTTGATAGGAGAGTTTTCCCCTTTTCCTTCTAAGAACGTCCCCAGCCCAGCTAAATAGACGTTCGACCGACGGGCTGGATGGAACGGCAGCGTTGAATTTGAGAAACAGGCTGTGCAGGGTCGGGTAAGCGAGTGTCGGCATCTTAGGTGTCCATGACGAAACTTGTGAGGTTTGCCTCGGGTAGAGGGTCTTTAATAACAAACTTTCCTCCTTTTTTTTTTTCTTCGTCAAGTTGAGATTGTTATGACTGGCCCCTCTTTATTCCGACGTCGTTCTGAGAGTACGCTGAGCGAGTGCACCAGACCGTCAAGGGTTCAAGTCTCGCGCCACGACGATGAGATCACCCGGACGACTGCGCGTCCCGTTGTAGTGCTAGTGCTACGCTACTGAAAAAAAATTGTTTCGGTTTAACAGAAGATGAACCGAAGTATACTTCGCCGCTGACGCCGGGTGCAACAAAAGGATCTCCCAAGGGTAACTCACAATCCTCTCCGGCGACTACAATATTCTGACGCGCCTGAATCGTTTTTAATAGGGTGCCTTCATGTGCGCTTCGCATAGGGTGATGCCAACTGCCTGTTTCTCTTTCCCACACCCTCGTCCACCGCCATTTTGTTCCTCTCATTGTTTCCCCGTGCGCCGGAAAGTGGCCTTTGTGTCCATCGGTAATTCCATCCGAGGGGGTAAATGCTAATCCTCCCTCCGTGGGTTCCACAACGCTGCTCCGAACTTCTGAGATAAGGTGCTTGTTTCCGGGAGGGTTATAAGCCCCACGGATTATCGCCGAGGAACAAAATGGCTGCTGGTTTGTCGGCGAGTGGTATTACAAAGGATGGCATCACCCTAGCAAAGCGCACATGAAGGCTCCCTACCTAGTTTTTAACAAAGAGGAGGTCTCCCAGGCATGGATGGTCGGAAGGACGCGAAGGATTACGTGAACAAGCATCGTCGCTCGTATACAGTTGCAGCTAGAAGCAAAAATGTGCCCCCATGAACGGATTATCCGTATCAGGGTTTGTGCTCGGGGGAGTCCGGCTTTGCAAAGGCGTATGCGCTGACGACAAGGAGCCCAGCAGCGAGGTCATTCCAGTGGCGCCTCCCGTGGAACCTACCGCTTGAGTCAGAACTCACTAAAGACAGACAGCACGAAAACAACAACTCTCAGAGTGCCCCCGTCTTTCACGGTTGCAGCTGGAAACGCGGCGCCTGCGTCCATTACCGGATTAGGTCAATACCCGACCAAGGCTTGTTCAGCATCTCTTCCTGCGTTCGTGCGTGCCGGTGTTATGTTTTGGCTGCTCGTCGCCACCTTGGCCCAAGGACGCCTTCCCGAACAAGGGGGCCCCTTGTTCAGGAATGCCACTTCATCTGCCGGCGTCTTATTCATTTCTGCGCTCAAACTTTCGTGATGGGCAAAATTAGCACTATACAATTTCAAAAGTAGTTATTAATTTGAGTAGAAGTTACCTGAAAAAAGTAGTTAAATTAAACTGCTAATTACCCAAATCAAGTTGGAATTGAAAGTTACCAAGTTACTCGAAAAAGTAGTTAAACTACAGTAGTTTGAGTAGAGTAGTTGAACTACGTCCAAGTCTGCATTAAACAAACCCGACACGTGAACATACTCGGGTAATGTGCTGGAGTCTCAAACTCCAAGGGTACGATTTTAGAGTGCAATGTATTAAAGAGAGAGAAAATGTCGGAGCTGATTACTTAAGCCGCCTGTAGATACTGTGAAAGGGTGTATGAACTGATATGGTGAATTCTTTGTGGATTAAAACACTAGTTTATCACCAGTTTTGCGTGTAGCGCAGTGCTTTAGTTTTCGATGCTATATCTTGTTACCCATTCACAAGCGCCGTATTATATGTTCTTCGTTTGGGAGGAACTTTTCCGTTGGCTTGCAGAGTTGAGGTCGCGAATGTTCTATGTCGTGTGTATTTGTGCAGAATATTGCCCAGGTTTAAGGGGAAATGAATACGTTTCGGTTATGGATGAACAACCAGTTATGGCTGAGCAAGGAATTCGTTCTTTGTTTGTAAAAATGTTGAGAAGTGCTTTTTTTTTAAGTGGAGAGTGGGGTTTTTTGCGAGAGCTGAGTTTTTTGTTGTTTGGAAAAAGTAGGAAATATCTTGCGATTTTTATCCTGTACCCTGTGGTCACTTCCCCTACTTACTTTTTACGCCAGGCGTGGCCCTAGCACCTGTCAACCGGTCGCACAATTTTGTTTTTATTTTGTGTGCACATGAGTTGCGGCCTTTGTCTTTTTCACGTTATTACAACTAATTCACATACTGGCCCACGAACATTGTGACAATCATTCTGACCTTCACAATGTTCTCCATTGGTGTAATCAATAGAAAATTGAACTGAATATTGACAAGTGTAAATTCATGACAATATCACGCCAGTATAACAGCTGATTTCTTTACCTCATCTAAGGCATTAGATTTAAATTCGTATCTTAGTATAACTACCTTGGTGTACACATTGCTGACAATATTTCCTGGAATACTCAAATTCCATACGTAATCAATTGTTAGCCGTGTATTGAAAATAAACTTTTTCTCTGGTTCCTCTGTTCTTTAAACTGTTTTCTTCGAAAAGATTACTTGTTAGTAAGTTGGAATACGCTGGCGTTACCTGGGACCCCACCGAATTAAAGTTATTATCACTAGGATCCGTTTAGAAACGTTCTGCCCATCCGATG